TTTTTTTTTTTTTTTGGAACTGGGGATTGAACTCAGGCCCTTGCACTTGCCAGGGAAGTGCTTATTCCACTGAGCCGCCTCCCCAGCCCCTCAATTTTCCTCTCTTGAACTCAGTTTCCTCAGTCTGTAAAGAGGATTTAGAGCTTGCATGGTGGTGCACACATGTAATCCTAACACTTAGGAGGCTGAAGCAAGATGATTGTAGTGAGTTTGAGGTAGTCTGGGCTACATAGTAAGTTCAAGACTAGCTTTAACTACATAGCAAGACCCTGTCTTTTTTTTTTGTTTGTTTGTTTGTTTGTCTTTTGCAGAACTGGGGATTGAACTCAGGCCCTTGCACTTGCCAAGGAAGTGCTTACTCCACTGAGCCATCTCCCTGGCCCCAAGACCCTGTCTTTAAAAAAACCCCAAAGACAAAAAAAGAAAAAAAAAAAAAAAAACTGGGCATGGAGCACTATTGTGAGTTTGAGACTAGCCTGGGCTACAAAGTAAGCTCAAGGCGAGCCTGAACTGCATAGCAAGACCCTGTCTCAAAAAGACAAAAAATGAAAAAGATTAATACTGTGATGCAAAAAAAAAAAGGGGGGGGGTGATGGCCAGGGAGATAGCTCGCCTGGCAAGTGCAAGGTCCTGAGTTCAATCCCCAGTTCAAAAAAAAAAAAAAGATTAATACTGTGAGATAGCTCCTGTGAGACAGGAGGGGGACTGAGTGAGTTGTCACTGTGGCCCTTTGTCGGGAAATTTATAGAGCAAAGTCACAATGTGGGTGGTACAGTGTACATCAAACTAAAATCAACCAATCAGATTAAAAACGTAGCCACTTAAGCTAGTAGTGGCCCAACCAGGAAGTAGAGTATGTGCTTTGCAAGCTCTTATGGCTGGTGCCATTAACATCCATTAACATCCCCTTTCCTAGGACCCTTAAAACAGGAACTATTTTGGGTTGGGATGGATCCAGATGTCCTAGTCACCTGATGCATATCTGGATTTGAGGCACCTAGTATCATGCATATCTGGATTTACCGGACTGGGTGGTACTAATTACACTATAATCTCAATGTATGCTTAGGTATGCAAGAGTGGCCTTTGTGACTTTATTTATTT